TGTAATATTGAAATGTGGCCACCTCTTCGGCATCAGGGAATATTTTAGCTGAGGCTGCTGGGCCAAAACTTATAGATATTACACAGTGTCTGCCCCAAAGCACATGAGACTGACCGTTAATGTCTGATCTGAAAAGGCTTGGCAAAGTTTGTGCAACTTTTCTCCCTTTGAGAGATGAAAGACCTGAAAGACCCTGCTGGAATGTATTTTATTTATTACAATGCCCTTGATGCGCATCCCGCCTGGTATTATCTGATTCCCACCAACACAAACATGACCATACGATTGTTCCTGGCCCCAGACAGTCTAGGGATTTTAAACCCGATACCCTGATCATGAAGGCATCTTCACGGGCTAATTTAGAAAAAGGCTGCATCCTACGGCCCCAACTAGGAGAACTGCCACTGGGAGTTTTGCTTAAGAAAAAAAATGCAGGAGGAGAGTCAAGCCATCTGGACTCCCAGGGGCACCCGGATTTGGTTAAGTATTTTAAGACTGAATCCATGAAGCTGAAATTTGAAGATCTAACACGGACATGTGAATAGTCCCCTAGCTATTCCCTGGCTTGATAGCATCTCCAGCGTGGCTGGTAGCCTCAGTTCAATAGAGGTCTGGCATTGAAATAGCATGGGGGCTGCAGGCTGGCGCAGTCCTGAGGAAAGGTCCCTGATGCCCTGGCAGTGGACTGTACGGCAGGGCTGAGTGGTGCCCATGAAGCGGATCTGCAGGGACCTGCACAGCGCCCACTGTGCCCAGCAGCCAGTAATTTACCCGATCATCTTCACAAATGCAAAACTGATCTGCACCTTGAAACCAAAACCAAAGCCTCTCCTAGGGTGCCAGGACCTCGTCTGGTGCCAGTTAACACAGACAGGTTCCAGTTTGTGAAGCTTGTCTTGATTACCAGAAGCAGCAAGCTGGAAAGGTTCAGAAGAAAGAACCAACATTTGTCCCTTGCCTCACTCCCCTGCAGTCAGGTAAAGGACACCAGTGGTGGCGTTGGCTCATGCTGTACTTCAATGGTCAGCTCTGTGGTTAAGGTCAAGTTGAGTGTAGTGCTTGCTCTGCAAAATCTCTCATTATTAGCAGGAACCCAGACATCTGCCAAACCCCAAATTTGGGAAAGCTATGTTTTTACCTGCTGGGTAAAAACTTACAATCCTTTCTATTCCCCGGTAAAGTTTTCAATGTCATTCAGGTATAGAAGGCACAGAAACGATATCTCATAGATTCATAGATGTTAGGGTCAGAAGGGACCTCAACAGATCATCAAGTCCAACCCCCTGCCTGGGCAGGAAGGAGCTCTGGGGTCAGACGACCCCAGCCAGATGCCTATCCAGCCTCCTCTTACAGACCCCCGAGGTAGGGGAGAGCATCACCTCCCTTGGGAGCCCAGTCCAAGTTTTGGCCAGCCTTAATGAAACCTTACCAACATCTTGAAACCTCATTCCAGAATCCAACCACTTTGCACCATGCCTCCAACCTACAACTAGCCTCCTGGAGGAGACTACACCGTTTTCTCAGGAAGGTCCCACTAGCGCGTGACCCTAGACTCATCAGAGGTGCAGAGGGAAAAGGTAAGCACAGAATAACTCTGAATGAGAAGGGCTCTGCCCGTCCTCCCTCTTTGTCCTAAGAACAGTCTGAGTGAGAATAGCTGGGTTAGATCCAGCAGCCAAAACCCAAGCGAAGGGAAAGCATAACCTTCTTTCAGCCTCTGAGAAAAAAAAAGCTTGTCTTATAAAGAAGGCAGCCCCGCGGATTAGCTTTGCATTCTATTTAAACCATTATGTCCAGTAGGAAACAATGCCACCCACCTGTTGGAGTCCATCACCTCTCTTGCTGGTACTTTTGCTAGACCACCATCCCCAGTGAGCTACCGAATGACTGAATCATCTATTTAAAAAAGAAGCTGCATGCTCAGCACCCTGTCTCTCTGGGGTGGCTGGCCAGCAGCATGTCATCACTTTGCTCCTGAAATCATCTGCACTGAACAAACACAGCTGCTAAGCAAAAAGCCCTTTGTGTCGTCCTGTGAAGCCCCCACTAGCCATGCTGATAGCAGTGGCTGTACGTAGGCTGGTTATAGGATCTGATGTGCGCTGCGAAGTGAGGGTGCCATTAGATAGCTCACTCTCAATCTGTTTCTAACAAGAATAAATCCACTATTTTGAACGGTGAGACACTTGGGAAGGAAGGCAGATCCCATCGATGCCAAGCAGCTCCCTTATGTAGATTTGTTGCAGCAGATGGCTGCTCTCACAGGTGGACTATTCTGTCCCCTGGTTGTGCCAGCTGCCCCAGCACCATGCGTCAGGTGTGGCCACAAATTGTACCTTTCTCAGCTGGATAGGAGAGGGGTTACTCAAAGCAAAGGGATCTGACTTGCCATTTCACAGGAGCATGGAAACCAGAGTTATTATTCTTTTTCTAAGGAAAATCAAATCAATTCCAAATCCGTGAGTCATTTAAGATCCATACATGGCCCTACTACCAGAAAACTTCTTCCACCCCCACCTGGGGCTTCAGCTGTTTCCAAATCATTTGGCGGCATCCTATATGCAGGCCCAAGCCGGGAGCTTGGGGTTTGGATGCCCCCGGGTTTTGCTTGCCCTCAGCCGTACGGCCTCAGGAGCCAGCTAGGGAGGAGTCTCCCATTTCCCTGAAGTGGGCGTAAAGCCAAGATCTTCCCATAGGAAATGAAAGTGGGAGGTTAACTATATATTACCTCCACAGATACTACCCCATGCCAGAAAAGCGGTTATTCCCTGTTCCTGGGAAAACCACTGTGGCAATCATGGTATTTCCTCTGCCAGAGGGAAAAGAACTGGGTTTTATCTGCCTGCTGAGGCAGGACCGCTGTCCCTGACGTATTTCTTAGCACTTTGTCTTTAAATGGCTGGAGCGACTGGGTAATTGAAATGTCACGGAAGAGGTAGGATAGTGTCTCGGTGTCCTAGGCTGGCTGGATTTGCTACCAGGAACCCCTCGTATCCCTTCTCTATAAACTATGGGATTGTCTGCAGGCTGCAGTAAGTTTAATTGCTGGCTCAGATCCCCATCAGTGTGTCTATGTTTGTAGCACAGATGGGCATCCTGCCACATCCTTTCCTTCTCTCACCTGCACGTCCAGGCGTCTTGCCTTATCCCCTGCTATATATCGGCCCTGGGGGTGAGCGAACGGTGGAAACTCACCCTCAACCTCCGGTGGATGGAGTCACTACTGAGCTGCAACACAAGCACTCCTATGGGTGCGTTGGTGTCACAGCTTGCTCTGCTCCCTCCCTCCACCCCTCCTCGCTATCATGGATCACGCGTCTGCCACTAGAAATTAAAGTCCCTTGTACTGAACTGCGCTGGCCTCCTCCCCTCCTCCACGGAGAGCTCATCAGCCCTCTGACAAAAGGCCCGTGAGCGGCTGGCACCACTCATGTGGCTGCTTGTGTGGAATGCACATAGCTGGGTAAGCACTAATAATAGCCGGAGAGGAAACCGGGGTGGCAGCTTAATCCAGGGCCCAGGCACTCATGGGCCCTGCTAACTCAATGGTGACATGTTCAAATCTCCCCTGTCCTGTGCTCCAATGGGCCATTGTGCTGCCGTCACTGCCTTGATCCCATCTGTTCTAGCAGAGGTCAACAGGGCTACGTCCAGCCCCAAGCCCGGGCGGCATTCTTGGCAGTCTGTCCAGGTCCAGCACCTTCACAGCTGCTACTTGGAGACCTTTTGTCTCTGCGGTGGCTAGGAAATATGTGGAAGGCAGAGGGGTGGGTTAGGAAGAAGGTCAGAGGCCAGCTAGACAGACTGAATCGTTCTCCTTTCCTGAGCAGGCTGGGTTGAAAGTCTGTCCCTTTGGGATGAGCGGGGAACGCGGTCCAGCTTCCAGTGGTGCGAAAGGCGAACTGCCCGTAGCTGGGATGAGTACAGGCAGCTTTTGTTCATCCCTCTCCGTGGCTAAAAAAGTGCATTTTCGGCTATTTCGGCTTTGCCTGCCTGCTTGCAACCAGGGTACAGGATGAAAAACATTACAGGGCTCGGGGCTGAGTTTTCCAGCATGAGGAAAAAAGGGTGGATGTGTTGGTGGGGAAGAAAGGTCTGCTTCTAGTGAAGCTGTGGTCCAGAACAATGATGCTGGGAGGCTTTTCAATTATTCTTTCTTGTTCCTGGATCGTATTTTTGCTTCACTTACCAAAGCCATCGTTTTTCCTAACATTCAGTGCTACAAAGTGTGGTTGGGATCCGCTTTTCAAGCTCCCTTCTTTCTAAGGATCAGCCAGCCTCATGGGATAGTTCAGTGTTGTCAGCCCCAGACATTAAAAAATGATGACCCCAGTTTCAGAAAATCGTAACAGTGGCTTAAAATCATGGGATTTAAAGACAAAATAACCCGTGCCATGTTTTCTAATTTGCTTTCTGGGTTTTCGGCCCTTTGGAATGCAGTCAAGTCATAGTTTCATGATTTTGTTTTACAACAAAATAGGCTAGAAATGTGCCCATTTAGAAATGTGCCTTTATCATAGAGTCATAGAAAATGAGGGTTGGGAGGGACCTCAGGAGGTCACATCTAGTCCACCTCCCTGCTCAAAGCAGGACCAGCCAGGAACTTGCATGACTGCTATAAATGGGACTTTAAGGGAATCTTTAGTAATCATTTAGTGCGGATTGGTAACACTGTTTTCAGCTTGCAAATGCATACGGTTTAGGATAGTTGCCTCGATGTGTTTGTACGGCATGTGCCCAATCTCAGTTTGGGCTAACTAGGCTCAATCGTACATACAAACAACTGAACACCAGGTTTAAATCTGCTCGTCTTGTCTGGAGGGGTTTGCCCAGCAGATGTGGCAGCTATGAGAACCACACTGAAGCACAGGGCTAACACCTGAAATGTGGAACATGACTCTGACTTTAAAGTGCAAGAACGGAGTGAAATGCCCACCCAGCCAATAAAGGGCAGCAATGTTAAAAGGAAATTCGGTTTTAAAATACTCTTAATTTTTAGTTACTTACTTGTGAACCAAGTATATGTCTAGGGCCAAGATTTTCAAAGGGACATGATGAAGGTTTGACTTGTGAAAATTAGGACCCCCATAAGCTGTCTCAGGTTGGGTGCCCCTGCACTGAATCACCAGGCATCACGAGCCACTTGTGAAAGATCTTGGCTGTTTACCTTTAATCCGATAGTCCTCTGCAGGTGACACCTCACAATTTAATACCACTGCAGACAGTGCTTGGACAGATACTAGGGCCACTCTGAGGCACTGGGCTGTTATTTTTAGTCTTTGCAAAAAGACAGGCTGGGTGGAATGTGCAGACTCTATTTTGGTGCAAAAATGCGAGGAAGGGTCCCCAAGGAACAGCTGTTGGTGGCACTGCCGGGTAGAAGAGGAGCCTTCCTGTAAAGGGTGGTGGAAGAGACTGTGAACACCCCCAGGGAAACCTCCCAAGCATTTCACCGTATTACTGGGCTGGACTAAGCAGGATGCAGATTTAGCTGCAGACTCACAGTCGGGTCCCACTTTATACTCAGCTTCTCCTTATAGAAAGGCTTAATAATGGTTCACCGATATTGTCCCAGAGGGCTAATAAGTTATTAGAGAGTTTGACAGGCTGCTTATAACCATGGCCTGGTCTTACCTCTACCACTTTCTTCTGATCACTTTATAACCCTCTCTCACTTGTATGGCTCTGTTTGTAGCAGTCGTGCAATGGCTCTTCATTCAGGCTTTATAAATGGAATTGTAATTTACAGCGTGATTGCAAGTGAGCCATATGGATGTCATTCGAACGGTCCCTTTTGCTCTGTGTTTTCCTGCCTTATTTGTCACTGCAATGCCTAACCCACTAACTGTTAGTCTCACGCTTCCCTCCTTAGGAAAGATCGAAGCTTTGTTGTGCCAGGGGCTGTACATACATATGAAGAGATTCAATCCCTGCCCATAGGACTCATCATCTCAGTAGATGAAGCAGAGGGCAAGGGAAAGGGATATTATCCCCATTGTCGAGAAGGGGAACTGAGGGGCAGATTGATTAAGTGATTACCCCAAGGTCAAACAGGCAGTCTGTGACAGGGCAGGCAGCTGAAACCAGTTCAGGCTCAATTCAGGTCCTCACCCACAGGATCAGTCTGGCTGTGGGGAATGAGCTTTGTTTAGAAGGGACTTTCATCCTAGTGCATTCATAGCTTTCCCTTGGATGGTGCCTTTTTGGTGCCTTGGTGAACTCAAGCTGAGCAAAGACCTGATTTCCTCCATGCATCCATCAAACTACTGCTGACAGGGCTGG